GGGAAAGAGACCTGGTCCTTACATACTTCATCTCCCTGCCCTAGGCAGAGGACACAGGGACTCAGGCCAGCCTGAGATCTCCAGGGCTGGGGAGGGCGTGGAGGATGCTACACACTGCGGTGGGCTGGGCCTGGAATGCAGCGGGGCAGGGCTATTTAAACCCAGGCCTGCCTGGCAACTCCAACAGCCTGCCCTGTGAGCCGCCAGCATGGATGACATCTACAAGGCTGCGGTGAGGGACTGGGGTGGGTGGGCCTATTGGGGGCTCACTTATCTCGGAATGGGGGGACAAGGTCACCCCAGGGAAGTGGTGGGGGCCCAGGAGAGGACCTTCAAACTTTCAGGCAAGAGCCTCAAGGGGATGGTGGGTCTGGTGTTCCAGGGTGTGAAAGGGGTGAGGGATTCAGGGACTGGAGAGGAGCTGTCAGAGTAGATGGAGGAGAAGATCTCACCTTTTAGCATCATGTCCGCCACTGTCCTCAAGTGTCCGTGGTCCGAGTCACTGTCTCTCAGTCACTTCTCTCTGCATTTGTCTCTCTGGTCTCTGGATCTTTGCCTTTCTCAGCCTCTTTCCATTTCTTAGTTCCAAGCTGTCCCGAAGTCTCTGTCGCTGTCTCCCTGACCTTACCCCCATTTCTGCTCCTCATATTCTGCTTCTCACACACTCAGAATCCCCCAACTCCCTCCAGTCCCTTGGCTGGCTGAAGATGCTGTAGAGTGGGGGGTGATGGGGATTGTGAGGAGGGGACTGCAGAGCTGGAATCCTGAATGGGGGAAGAGACTTTGAAGTTTGAAGCAAGCAGGATAGGACTGGGTATGGGGGAGAGCCGGGAAGAAGGAACAGAGAACTGGGGCCCAAGCCCCCATCTAGTCTTTCAGGCTCAGGGCTCAGTGGCTTAGCCAGGAGTGAGGGCTGGAGAGTGGTCACCCAAGTCCTTGCAGCCCTCTGGAGTCTCTGAGGGGCTTCAAATGCTATTTCATCTGGGGGAGGGTGGTTTGCTAACCTGCCCCTGCCCCCAGAGACAAGGACATCTGGCACAAACAACTGTCCCCAAAGGAACCCCTTCTTTAGTCCTGGGATTGTGTCCCCACTCTCGGGTAGGGAAGGGCTAGAGCTGGCTCTGGTGGCACCCCTGCCTATCTGTAGTAGTCCATGGGGCTGTGGGGAGCAGCCTTCTGCCTGTGCCCATACAAGGTCTTGTGGGGCTGGGGACTAATTTTGGCTCCTGAGGCACCAGCAGGCCAGGGGGCCAGATAACACTGCCCCACCCTCTGCATGCCAGAGTCCCCAGAACAATCACCAGGTTTAACTTTGTCCCCCGTTAAAAATAGCTCAGTGGCCACCCTGGTCAGGTTACAGTGGGTGGCTTTACCTACCCCCACACTAGCTTTATTGTTCCAACCTGAAGGACAGCTGTCCCTCAGTCCACCCAGCTTGGGTTTCAGCAGGGGGCCAATAGGGCATTGAATCGTCACTGACTATTGTTACTCGGGGTCACCTTGGCTCTGGAGGTGGTGCCCACCTGTCACCTTGGCCCTGAGCCCAGTCTCAGTGAAGCCATCTGGGTCACCTCAGGGCTTTGGGGGAAGGGAGAGAAGACTGAGGCATCTGCTCTGTGACCTGGAAATGGCCTGTCTCTTCTTGGCTTCAGTCTTCCCACCTGTGGAATGGGTTGGTTTCCTCAACAGCAGCTGGAGTCTGAGCCTGAGTCCTAAGACCTCTTTTCCTCTCTAGGTAGAGCAGCTAACAGAAGAGCAGAAAAATGGTGAGTGCCCCAGCACATATGTAGGGGACAGCAGGGCTGGGCTGGGGGTGCATAAGGACCCCAGGCTGGAGACCAGAGGCTTGAGTCCCTTTTGTTGTGAGGTCTCAGAGGGAAGTGGGAAGGTTGGCAGGTGGCCCCAGGGTTCTTGTCTTAAGGTGGTCCTGGCTGCTGAGCCATGGCTACTCTGTCCCCCCCCCCGCCCCCGCACCTATTGGACACAGAGTTCAAGGCAGCCTTTGACATCTTCGTGCTGGGTGCTGAAGATGGCTGCATCAGCACCAAGGAGCTGGGCAAGGTGATGAGGATGCTGGGCCAGAACCCCACACCTGAGGAACTGCAGGAGATGATCGACGAAGTGGATGAGGATGGTGAGCCCCTCCAACTTACCAGGTCCCAGACCCCATAGCACCCCAGGTCACTGGGGACTTGAATCTTCGCTCTGCCACTTATTATTCTGTGCTATTGAAGGAGCTGTTTAGCATCTCTGAGCCTCAGTTGTCTCACATATAAAATGGGCATCATGGCCACCTTGTTTCATGGAGTTGGTGTGTGGATGTAGTGAGAACACTGGGGTTTAGGGTCAAGGGCAGTGCCAGCTGTTCTGACCATCCCTCTCTAACAGCCCTGATATCTATCCCCCAGGCAGCGGCACAGTTGACTTTGATGAGTTCCTGGTCATGATGGTTCGATGCATGAAGGATGATAGCAAAGGGAAGTCTGAGGAAGAGCTGTCTGACCTCTTTCGCATGTTTGACAAGTGAGCGTATGACCCTTTACCTCTGAAGGAGGAAGTCTTGTGATCTCCAGGCCTCAGTCTCCCATTCTGTGCAATGGGGGAGTGGGATGCCCCATCTCCCAGTGGCCCTGCCCTGCCTCCCTGGTTTGTGGGTAGGACTGCTTCTTTCCCTCCCCAGTCCCCACTATGGGCTCTGAGACTCTCCCTTGCCCCACACTCCCGGCAGAAACGCTGACGGCTATATCGACCTGGATGAGCTGAAGATAATGCTTCAGGCTACTGGAGAGACCATCACGGAAGATGACATCGAGGAACTCATGAAGGACGGTGACAAGAACAATGATGGCCGCATCGACTATGATGGTGAGGGGGTGGTTCATTGGATCTCCTACTGCGTATATACCCTGCTGGCCCCCAGCTCTGACCTGTGCCTGCCCCTCTCTCCACAGAGTTCCTGGAGTTCATGAAGGGGGTGGAATAGATGCTGACCCTTGCCCAGAGCTGCCTGTGTCGCCTTCCAACTCTAGCTGGGCCTAGGGTTGGGGCAGGAGGCCAGGGTTCCCAGGATGCGAGCCTGGGCCCACCAGAGGCCCTCCCTGACTCCCTCCTCAGCCCTGTACTAGGGAATGCAAATAAAGCCCTGCTGCTTGGAGGTCTGGTGTCTGGCTTTCATTCAGGGGTCTGGGGACTCTTCATCAGCTTTTATTCCTGACCTAACGACCACTTCCTTTCCCATCCCAGAGCGCAGGCTCTAATTATCCCTGCATACCGCCTTCCACAGGAGGGACTAGGTTAGACCAGAGACCATCATGCTCCATACCCCACTGCCTCCTTTCTATAACTGCTGATGGCCAGGCCTTATCTCCAGTGATTCAGCATCTGGAGTCTACATTTAATAGGCTCCTGGAGATCATGGCTTGGTCAGTTAGTTGGCAGATGCGGGGAATACCTCATCTTGGAGAGAGGAATAACTGCAGCACCCAGCAAGACCCTGGATGCCACTTGACACAGCAGCCCCAGCTCTGTCTTAGCTCTGGTTGGTCCATCTGCCACTCGGATCTCTTGCTGGCAACATTGACTCCCAGGGACCAAGGGTTATATCGTCTATTCTACTTCACTTCACTCATTTGACAGTTGAGGACCCTAGGGCCCAGAGAAGCACAGGGGCCTGTCAAGGTCATCCAGTGAGTTTGGGGGAGAGGAGAGCCACGTGACTCCCAGTGAGGGCTCTGTCTGATGGACCAGGTCCATGTGTAGGCATAATTTCCAGTTCCCGCTACCCTCAGAGGCTCCAGCAACCTACTTTCTCTCCCTGACAGGGAACGGAGGCCCAAGGCCTGGTGGCTCTCATCTTAGTGGAGATGCCCAGGCCAGACCTACAGCCAGAACAGTGACACTGATCTTGGGCAGGAGGGTGGGGTGCTGCAGGGAAGTAGAGGTGTGAGCAGTGGTGCTTGCAGGAGGGACAGCTGCCACGGTGCCTAGTCTCCAGCCAGAATGTCAGCAGTTGTCTTTGCTCCACACAGACTCCCCACAGCCTCCCCACCTGTGCCCCAGCCTTGGCATTCCCCAGAGAGGCCCAGCATTCCGGAGACGGTCTTGGAATTCTGGAAATGCCTCCAGTGGAAGCCAGAGCTGGCAGGAATTGCCTGCTCCCTAGAGAGACCCAGGGGGAGGGGAGAAGGGGTCCTCTCAGTCCTGCCCTTGGGAGCTGGAAATCTCAAAGACTTACACATCTGGAAAGATGACATCTCAGGAGAGGAGGCAGGGCCACAGTGGGCAGTACCACCAGCCAGTGTACCATTCCATGGTTTAATCACACCTGCCATGTGCCTGGCACAGGCTAGATACTGGGACTCTTCAGAGAGAGGCCCAGTCCTTAATTTCATGAAATTCATAGTCAACTCAAGAAGGCAAAGAGGGAGATAAGTGCAATGAGGAAATCAGCACATTACTGGAATGAGAACTGTAGAAATGTAGTGACCATGAAATAAAGTGGTCCAGGAAGCCTTCCTGGAAGAGGTAGCACTGAGCTGAGGCCTGAAAGACCACAAAGAATCAGCCATGGAAGGGCATTGAGAAGAGACTGGAGCATCTCAGGAGCAGAAAGGGTGTCGGCTGGGCACTGAGCCTTAGTAATCTTAGGGTGAGAAGGCCTGATGTTTCTGAGCGCAGTGGAGTGAGACGGGTGGAGGGAGGTGCATGGAGTGAGGGTATGCTTTGGAACTAGAAGGATTGAATGTGAAGTGAGAGAAAGTGAGGAGTCAAGGATGGCCCCTCACATCAAGGATGAAGCTGCCATTTGCTGAGATATGGAAGCCTGAGGGTGGCAGTTTCTTGGCAGTGGGGTATTGGGAAGTGAAAGTTCCTTTTTTCCTTTAATTTTTTTTCATGATTTTTAATTTTTCATTTTAAAATTCCAGACTTGCAAAAATACAAATGACCGCCATTTACACTTTACCCAGCTTCCCCAAATGTTAACATTTTAAATAGTCAGAGGACAATAATCAAGTGCAAGCCACTACTAACTCATCTGCTGACTTCACTCACGTTGGTCAGTTGCCCTACTAAAGTCCTTTTCTTGGATCAGGATGTGACCCAAGATCACACACTGTGTCTCGTCATCCTATCCACGTTCTCTCCTCCAATCTATGTCAATTTCTCAGTCTTTCCTTGCCTTTTGTGACCCTGACACTTTTGAAGAGTGCAGATAAGTTATTTTGTAGGATCTCATACAATTTGGATTTGTCTAGGGTTTCCTCAGAACTGGATTCAGGTTATGTATTTCTGGTGGGATAATCGCAGGAGAGAGATGGAGAGTCAAAGTTGAGATGCCTCTGGGACAGGATGGTGGGGATGTCAAAGCAAGGTAGATCTAAGTGAGAGGCAGAGAGAACGCTATAAACTCAGGTGTCATCAAAGTAAGAAGCAGTTTCCCAGCCCTGGTCCTGGATGAGGCCCTAGGGAGAGGGTGTGTAGGGAGAGGTGGCCCAGGACTGGGCGCTGGGCATCCCACATGGGCAGTCTGGGGGAGGAGGTGTGAATGATGAAGTGGGAGAGATCCTTGGTCAATGAGAGGCCTCAGGAGCCAGAACGGAAGGAAGGAGGCATGGAAGATTGCTGATGGTTTGGGACTAGGAAATTAGGAGGCCTCCAAGGCCTTGGCCATCTGGACACGAGGGTTTCATTGGAGCAGTAGGATGGGAACCTGGCTGAAGAGAGAAAAGAGTAAGCAAGACAAAGGGGAAATGGAGAATTAAGACAACACTGCTGAAGTTTTGCAAATGCTCAGGGACCAGAGAAATGGACTGGAATGGAGGGGAGATGTAGAAACTCATTTGAGGAGGGGAAGCCTGCATGCTGATGGGAACAACCCAGTGAATCTGGAAAAGTGTTGATGTAAGACGAAGAGCAGAGCTGCAGAAGGTGAGTGGCTATAGGCCTCTGGGGAGTGTTTTAAGGGTTTGGTTATAGCGCTGGGCCTGAATTCAGGCCGGGCAAAGAGAAAGGGGGCTCAAGGCAATGAGGGAAGAATTGTGGCGATGGGGATACTGAATGCAGGAAGTGTGTCCAGAGGAAGGGATGTTCCCTTCCCTGTAAGCAGAGCACATCCTTACTCATGGTGACTTGGAGGATGGGTGGCTGAGGTGAGGGGAGGAGGAGGACAAGAACCTGAGAGGCCAGGGGCACCCAAGGCATGTGGGATACTGATGGAATTGGAGAAGGAGAAAAGAGAAACCCTAAGAGTTAAGCTCTGTGAATAAAACAAGAAGATGGTTGGGCTACTTCAAAGAGGGGACATGGGAGGTGGCGGCTGGCTGGTGCGTTAGAGAAGGGGTCCACAGAGAGTGAGCCCTGTGGGATCATCCCAATGTCCCTATTCCAGAATGAGGTTGGTGGAGGAGGAATTAGGGCATCCCTTTCTCCTAAGCACGTCCACCCCAGAATTCTAGCTGGGAGAGGCTGAGTTGTGACCCTCTACATATCTGCCTGGTAGCATCTGATACATGAACACACACATCATACATGTATATGGCCAAGGGCTCGCAAGCTCCCACCGGCACACAGCATTGCACTTCTCTACATACGTCACCCAGTTCTGACTGTTTTGCTGCATTCTGTCCCCTCCATTTCTTCTGGGCTGTGTCATCCTTTGCCTGGATAGTGCTTCCTCCATGAAGCTTCCCTTGATCTCCTCCATCAGGAGCAATCACTGGCCTTGTCTCTTCATATATATGGTTGCCTGGTTATTGCCTGCTGCCCCAAGAGGCTGAGGTTTCTCTTGGGTGGCCGGGCTGCCCTGCATAGGGCCTGATACAACGAGCAACTTTGGGACCTCCTGCAGTTTCCACTTTGTGCATTAGATGGCACAAGATGCACGTGGCTGGGCCCATCGATCTGAGAAATCAAAGGCTCCTTTCCGTCTATTTTCTATCTGCAGTCTGCAAACAAGGGGTCTTTACAGAAAATCCTTACCTTCTTCTCAGACCGGAAAACTGAGGCTCAGAGAAGGAGAAGACCTGATTGAGGCCACACAACAAGTTAACCTTAGAGTTCAGGCTCCCACCCCAGGCTGTTTTACTGTAGCCTCAGCTGGGGGCCTGGCTGAGCTGAGGCCCCCAGGGTGAGCTCCCAGGCTGAAGAGTTGTTGGGTCTGCTGCCCACAGCTGGTGGCCACATGCTGTTTGAAGGGTTGTCTGGCTCAATCTCCAGGCAGATATTGGCCCTCAGCCTGGGCTACTGCCCAAAATCTCTCTCCAGGGAGACAGAGGCAGAGAAGCTCCACCCCTCTGAGGGACCAGGATATAATCACCATCATGGCAGCCCCAGTACAAGCACCCCCCACCCCACTCCCACACCAGCACCAGTTTACATCACCTGTTACACCCAAGGTGGCTTGTCCCTGGCCCTGGAAGGAGGAGATGGAGACCCAGAGAGGGAAAGGCCTTGGCCAAAGTTCTCCAGTGGAGTCAGAAGCAGGCGGTCTGAGGCCAGTCATTGGCCTTCCTGAGTAGCCCTCTGCCCAATCCCAGGTTAGGGCCCCGCTGGGAGGAGGCATATATATGTCAGGCAGAGGTGGGGACAGATTACCAGTTCTGTTACACCCAAGGTGGCTTGTCCCTGGCCCTGGAAGGAGGAGATGGAGACCCAGAGAGGGAAAGGCCTTGGCCAAAGTTCTCCAGTGGAGTCAGAAGCAGGCGGTCTGAGGCCAGTCATTGGCCTTCCTGAGTAGCCCTCTGCCCAATCCCAGGTTAGGGCCCCGCTGGGAGGAGGCATATATATGTCAGGCAGAGGTGGGGACAGGGGGACAGGGTTCAAATTCCCTGGGTCTTTCTCATGCTAATTCAAGGGGTTGACCTGTTTCTCTTCCAGGGATGAGGTAGGGAGGGGAGGTGGGATCCAAGTACCCTCCAGGAGTCTGAGAATCCCAGGACGGGGCAGGGTTGATGGGACCTGTTCTCAGCCTGCTCTGTGGCCTAGGCTAGGTCTTTCACTCTCTGGTGTCCTCGAGTTTCCTGACCACCACCTAAGGGCTCAGGCTGGTCCATCTGGGAGGCCACCACTCAGTGAGTGACACTCTGGGCCCTGGGCCTCTGGCTGAAAGAGGGAGGGTAATCAGAGACTACACTGCCCAGCGAGCTGGGATGGAGCCGAGAGGCCAGATATTCATTTCTTGCCAATCCCAGATCTATAAAGTGTGGCAAACCTCTGTTTCTGCCCAAAACATAGAAGATCTGAGACTGGAATGACCCTCCCTCCAGGTAACTTGGGCCTTGCCAGAGAGTTGGGGAGCCATGCCAAGGCTTCAGGGGGTTGGACCCCCCTGGAATTAGAGACCTCTAGTTTGTGGGCGTCTCTGTCATGGGCATTGAAGGGTCAGGGAGCAAAGGAGAGCCTAGCCAGACCTCCACCCAGCCCATGAACTTCTGATCTCTAACCCCTGACCTCTCTTCCAGATTATCTCACCCCTTGACATTTTGCTAGGGCCTGGGGTCTTCGGTTTGCGGACATATCTGTGTAAACTACCCACATTCCAGCTGGGAACCGGCTTGTATGACGCAGAGGCGTCAACCGGGCCAGGCAGGGTAGAGGGAACCACTGCAGGTGGATGGTGGAGGCTCTTGCCCCTCCCTCCTCCTCCTCCTTCCTGGCCCTGGACGGGGTGGAGCCACTGCCTTATAAGTGGCAGGCCTGGCGGCAACAGAGCAAACTGCAACCAGCGGCCAGCGACCAGAGGGTGGCTTCACAGGCAGCGTGGTGTCCTTGGTCCCCCACCATGGCCCTCTCGCCCTGGGCCATCTGCTGCCTCCTGGGGGGCCTCCTGCTCAGCAGGGGCAACCCCAGTCCTGGCCCCAGCGTGCCCCGCCTGCGGCTCTCCTACAGAGGTACGGGTGGGTTCACCCTGTTTGTGTGCATGTCCGTGGGAGCGTAGAACCCTGCAGCACACCCAGCTGTGGGACCTCAGCCAGCCCGGGTCAATCTGTTCTGCCAGCTGGAGGATGCAGGCACTCCCTGCACAGCCTGTGGGAAGGACTTCGTGGTCATTCCCTGGGATGGTGCTCCTGGCTGCTGCCAGAGGCAGGCACTGGGGAAGAGGCAGGGGAGAGGGACAGGTCCTGGGAGGCATGGTCAGAGTAGAGGTGGGAGAGACAGAGACATTCAGAAAAGTGGGTGGGGAAGATGCCCACATGAGTTTAGCTGTCCCTTTGGGGAGAGAGATGGAAAAGGGCAGACAGGACAGGTCTGGAGGACCTCAGCTGAGGCTCCTTGCCCAGAGCAGACAGTAGGGGAGCAGAATCCTGCCTCTCTCCTCCCTGCCCTGCAATGGGGCCCTTCACCCAGTCCCCACAGCCTTGCCTCCACCTGCCTCTTGCATCCCACTTCCCAATGCCAACCTCTCTTCTTCCTTTCTCCATCCCATCCCAGGAGGTTCTTCTGCAGATCTAACCTGATATGTCGTGCTATAGATGGCACACGCCTCCTCCGAATCTGTAGAGACAGCATATGGGAAAAGGCCCCTGAGACAGACGCAGGATCTCCACAGTTTCTTCTTCTAGGGGAAGCCAGAGGGGTGATGATCTTTCCCTGGGAACCCCAGTCCGAGGGGGGCGGGGAGACCCAGGCCTACTCTGGAGAGTCTGAGGTGGAAGACATGGCTCTACTCTTTGAGAGATTAAAAATGGGGTCTGGGGAATAGGGAATATGGTTCTGCCCTTGGAGCTGTGGTTTTCGGAGAAGTCAAGCTATAAGAAAAAGCCCAAATAGAGCAAATCCCCTCCAGAGTACTATCAGCCGTGGAGGGCTTCCTGGAAGAGGCTGTTGGTGAATTTGGGGATGGAGTGGGTACTGGGCCAAGGATGGCCCCTTGGGCAGGCATAGGATACTTAGCCTTCCCAAGGGTAGCCGATGCCCCTTCCCACTACATCTTGCTACCTGCCCCCTTGCCCACCCATCACCTCCACCTCCTTAGCTCAACTCCAAGGACTATTTCAGGATCCTTGACTTCTAGGACCAACATCCCTAGACATCCTTAGGGCCTGAGTGGACAGGTTCTATGGAGAAGAAAATCTTTAACCACATCCCTGGGCTAGAGCCTGGAGCCTCAGCTGGCCATACTCGGCCTCTCCCATACCCAGGCCTATGCCAGGTGTACCCTCTGCTGGGGATGCTCTCCCCTGCTTGTCCACCTGCACACTGCTCAGACTCACCCACCCTTCCCCCAGGTTCTCCCTGCACTTTGCGAAGCTTTCTGCCATAAGTTCTACCAGTGGGTCCATCTTCCGTGGGGATTACATAGAGCGCAGATGGGCCAGTGGGAAGGAGATGCTAAATGAAAGATCAAGGGATAAGGAATGAAGGGATAGGAGGTGACTGAGCTGGGCATCCCACCCACCTCAAGGAGCCACTTCCCGGAAGCCCTCCAGCAGCCTTGCGTATGGAAACATTTTTCAGATGTGAGTGTGTGTGGGGGTGAATGCACAACTGGGACCCTCCACCTTCACCCCTTGTCTGAGCAGTAGGCCCTGACTCCCTCCCTTGCTCCCTTGTAGACCTCCTGTCTGCCAACCGCTCTGCCATTTTTCTGGGTCCCCGGGGCTCCCTGGACCTTCAGGCCATGTACCTGGATGAGTACAGGGATCGCCTCTTCCTGGGGGGTCGCGATGTCATCTACTCTCTGCGGCTGGACCAGGCATGGTCGGATCCCCGGGAGGTGAGCTGGAATGACCCGGGATAGGGTCTGTCTAAGAGCTGGGCAACGCTAAATGGGAGGCTGGATGGGGAAACTGAAGCTGTGAGGTCAGGGGTCAGCCAGGCTGTGTTTCAGGTCCTGTGGCCACCGCAGCCAGGACAAAGGGAGGAGTGTGTTCGAAAAGGAAGAGATCCTTTGGTAAGTGCTGTCTGGAGTGACTGTCTCCAACCCTGAATAACACCCCAAGATATCCTGTGGCCACTGTCCCCAGTGCCTGCGCTGGTGGCATTTGAAACAGATCCTGAGGACTCTGGAAGGTCCATGAAGAATGTCACCCCAGCGCTGGTCAGCCAGGCAGTGCTGAGCCTTGGGGCCTGAGGAGATGGTGGCCCCTCATCCCCTGCCCCTCTCCCCACTAGATGGAGTGCGCCAACTTTGTGCGGGTGCTGCAACCCCACAACCGGACCCACCTGCTGGCGTGTGGCACTGGGGCCTTCCAGCCCGTCTGCGCCCTCATCATGGTCGGGCGCCGTGGGGAGGTGAGCCTAGGGCGGGCACCACAAGGGACCGGGAAGAGGCCATATTTCCTCCAGGCTGCCCGAACGCACTCCTTGGAGCCTGGATCGAGGCAGAGGTTTCAGGGGCCTGAAAGGCACCTTTGTGCCAGGGAGCTGACCCCATTGGCATGGCCCTGAATCAAAGGCACCTTATACCCATCTCCTACTCCCCAGATGCATGCAATGGTCACTGCCCTGGTTGAGGGGGCTGGTGCTGCTTCCCCAGGTGACACCCCTCCCTCCCTCCTTCCCTTCCTCTCCCCCAGCATGTGCTCTACCTGGAGCCTGGCAGTGTGGAAAGTGGGCGGGGAAGATGCCCGCATGAGCCCAGCCGTCCCTTCGCCAGCACCTTCGTAGGTGGGTGATGCCCAGGCACAGACAGGCACAGGAAGGATGGGAGCCTGCCAGTGTCATTGAGAAAGGATAGTAGCTGGGCCCTCCTCCCCTGATTCTGTCCTTATCCCATCCCAGGCGGGGAGCTGTACACGGGTCTCACTGCTGACTTCCTGGGGCGTGAGGCCATCATCTTCCGGAGTGGGGGTCCTCGGCCAGCCTTGCGTTCTGACTCTGACCAGAACCTCCTGCACGGTAAGCCCAGGGGCCTTCTGAGGGCAAGGCTAGCATTGGTAGGAGGTAGGAGAGCTGACTCTGGAGTAGAGACTGGAGGGCCAGCCCATCCCCACTTTAATCCCTGGGACTCCAGCCTCTGGTGGGGTCCTTGTACCTCTTCCCCTCCCCGTTGGGTTCAGCTACTTGTCCTCCCCTGTGAGGCTCCTCCACCAGCTTCACCTTGTCACCTGCCTCCCAGACCCCCGGTTTGTGATGGCTGCCCGGATCGCTGACAACTCTGACCAGAATGATGACAAGGTGTACTTCTTCTTCTCGGAGACTGTCCCCTCACCAGATGGTGGCCCAGGCTATGTCACCGTCAGCCGTGTGGGTCGTGTCTGCGTGGTGAGAGCTGTGAAGGGGCAGTGAGTTTCAAGTCCTTGCCACATCCCCTCTTCCCCAACCTGTCCCCACCCTCAGCAGGAGAGAAAATGTGGTGAGGGTGTGAAGCCAATGTCCATGCCTGTCCCACAAAGGGTGAGGATGGAGGAGCAGGAGGAGGGGCCTGTCCTCTGGGGCCCAGGGCTGACTCTGGCCTCCCACCCCACAGAATGACGCTGGTGGCCAGCGTGTGCTGGTGAACAAATGGAGCACCTTTCTCAAGGCCAGGCTGGTCTGCTCAGTGCCTGGTCCCGGTGGTGCTGAGACCCACTTTGACCAGCTGGGTAAGGGCATGGCCAGGGGCAGGCCTGGGGGCGGGAATGGGAGGGCTCGGAGCCAGTGAGCAGGGGACATAGGCAGTGGCCTTCTGTCTCCCAGAGGACGTGTTCCTGCTGTGGACCAAGGCAGGGAAGAGCCTCGAGGTGTATGCGCTTTTCAGCACAGTCAGGTAGGCACAATTTGTCTCCCCTTACTAAACCCCGCCCCCTGGCCTGGTCCGTGTACCCCGGCCTCCTCTGTTGAGCCTCGGCCTTCATATTCCAGCCTTGCCAGGGGGCCCTGTCTCTATCCCTAACTTGGTGACTCTGCGGCTTTATATTCTGTCTCCTTTCCTTTATCTTTGCCTGGGTGTCCTTATTTTTTGGTTTCTGCTGACTATAGGCACTGTCATCCTCTGCCCTGCCCATAGAGCCACGTTGCCCCCTTCCCACCTATGACAGCTCCCCTGGCCTGACTGCCCCTGTCTGCCCTCGGCAGTGCTGTGTTCCAGGGCTTTGCAGTCTGCTTGTATCACATGGCGGACATCTGGGAGGTCTTCAAGGGGCCTTTTGCTCACCAAGATGGTCCCCAGCACCAGTGGGGGCCTTATGGGGGCAAAGTGCCCTTCCCCCGCCCTGGCATGGTGAGTATCTGGCCAGGCCAGGAAAGAGGGCTGAGAAGATGCCAGGAGGCTCTACCTTGGGACAGCATTGTGTCTGCATAATGCTCCACAGCAGTTCTGAACTGGGGCTCCAGAGGGGCGGGGCAGGGTGAGGCGTGGCACGGAGTCCTGACCATGTTAAGGTGCTTCTCTAAGAGAGCGGTCGCTCCGAGGTTAGTGTGCCCAGGCAGTGCAGCATAGAAACAGGGGTGGGGAATGTGCGATGCCAGTGTGCTCAAGGAGCAACCTTTGCTGCTGCCACAGTGCCCCAGCAAGATGACTGCGCAGCCTGGGCGACCCTTCGGCAGTACCAAGGACTATCCGGATGAGGTGCTGCAGTTTGCCCGAGCCCACCCTCTAATGTTCCGGCCTGTGCGGCCTCGGCGGGGCCGCCCTGTCCTTGTCAAAACCCACCTGGCCCAGCAGCTGCGGCAGATCGTAGTGGACCGTGTGGAGGCAGAGGACGGGACCTATGATGTCATCTTTCTGGGGACTGGTGAGTGGACTGAATGAGGTGGCCAGACAGGGGAGGTGTGTGGGGGCCTAGGCTGCCTCTTCCTCTCCTACTGACCCCTTCCTTCGTACCCCAGACTCAGGTTCAGTGCTCAAGGTCATGGCCCTCCAGTCTGGGGGCTCAGCTGAGCCTGAGGAGGTGGTTCTGGAGGAGCTCCAGGTGTTTAAGGTGAGCCGGGGGACTGATGAGAGGGCTCCCCTATCCCTGAGTCTAGGCCTGGCTACTGGGAAGCAGGAGCAAAGCACAGGATGGAGATGGACTTGTCTTTCCTGAAATTGCAGCCAATGGGGGCGGGGGGGGGTGGTGAAAGCAACGACAGTCCGCTGCAGAGGCCTTGCTGATGCTTCTAAATGACTGAGGGGCCTGGAGATGTAGTCTGTGAGCTGAAAGTTGGGGGGCCCAAGGAGAGATGGCCAAGGCGAGCAACTCTTGACAAAGCTCTGACAGGCTCAGGTCACTGTGAAGGGGTGGCTGAGACCCTAAATGCCCAAGGGGTTCTGTTGGCCCCTCTATAGAATCAAGCAGGGGGTGTGTCTGGGGGATTGCATGCCTCCTGACACGGAATGGGTGATTTGAGACAGCTGCTTCATTGCTGGGGAACAGGGATGTGGGAGGGGACGCTGGAGATTTGTGCTTTTAGCCAAGCCTTCTGCTTGGAGGGACCAGGGGACCTTTCTTGTAACCTGACCTCTGGGAAAGACTGTCTGGCCTTAATTTTCAGGGCATGCACTGACCCAGGCTGGGAGATAGGTGGCTCTCACCCAGGATTTAAAGGTGGCTGACAGCAGGGATGCAGTGGAGGGCTCTCCCACCCCACCTCCCCACCCCCTGCTGAGATTCTGCCTCTTCCCCAGGTGCCAACAGCCATCACTGAGTTGGAAATTTCGGTCAAAAGGGTAAGAGCAGCAGTACCCTCCCTACTCCTCCGTCCTCCCCTCCCCTGGCCCAAAGCCTTAAGGACTGCCAGTGTCTGCCGAGCCCCTGCAGTTGTCTGATTAGGCCCTGCAAAGAGGGTTGAGAGTCCAGCTGGTTGCTGAGCTTCCCATGCATGAAACCGATGGGCAGTGGGAGGCCCTGAGTAAGTGAGGCTGTATTCAGATAAGGGGGGAGCCACAAAGGCCAGTTTCTCAGGGAGGGCAAAAAAAGTGCCTGAAACAAAATCCAGATTTGAAATCAAACAGAGGAGCCACTTCTTAGAGGCCTGCTATGTCCTTTCGCAAGTGGCAAATACCATCTCCCCAATTTTTTCTGCCCCAATTTATCTTCGGGTAAATCCCGACTTTGGTATTGGGATACTTAAACTAGAGTGCACCTCTAAGGTCAGAAGCAAGTCAGGATAAAGGCCATTGGGGCAGAGTGCAAAGGTCAGCAGCAGAGAGAGCCTAAAGAAGCCCTTTAGAGAAAAGACCCTAGGTCTGCGCCCTCCCCTACACGTCTTAGCACAGGATCTGGTGTGTAGTGTGTGGGAGATAAACATTTTGTTTCTATGAATGCCCTCAAGAGGTTCTGGAAGACTGCTGGCAAATGGCAGGAATCTCAGGAAACCCGAGGGGCTGAGAGCCTAGCTGCTTCTGGAGAAGCTCAGGCTTACCACAGACTCTGCTTGTGTCCCTCCCCAGCAAATGCTGTATGTGGGCTCAAGGCTAGGTGTGGCTCGGCTGAAGCTGCATCAGTGTGAGACTTATGGCAGTGCCTGTGCAGAGTGCTGCCTGGCCCGGGACCCATACTGTGCCTGGGATGGGGCCTCTTGTACCCACTATCGACCTGGCACCAGCAAGCGCCGGTTCCGTCGGCAGGACATCCGGCATGGCAACCCTGCCCTGCAGTGTCTGGGCCAGAGCCAGCATGGTAAGTGTAGC